AAGTGCGCTGCTTTTTTGTGCTAGTGACATCACATATTTTTCCTCTGCATGTTTTAAACTTCAAAATAGATTTTAATCAACATTTTAACTGTAAAGTAGGTATTTTGTTTGCTTATTTTTCCCATGTATTTATCTTTCCCTGTTTTGTTTTATTGGACATTCTTGCAATTCCATAATTCCACCTGGGACCATTTTTCTTTAGCCTAAAGAATTAACCTAATGTTTATCCTCAGTATTATAGTATAATAGATTTTCTTAACTTTTATTTCATTATATTTTTGTCATATTTTTGGAGGGTCTTAACAACAAATAGAGAATTCAAAGTGTCCCTCCCCCTTGATTTTTTAAACATATCATTAGTTGATGAAAAGTCAATCATATAATTTCTCCCTTGAACGTAATGTGTTTCTTTTCTGTGTCACCTTTTACATTTTTGTCCTTGTCTTTGTCAGCAACTTAAGTTGCTAAGCATAAATTCGGTTTCTCTGTGTTTATCCCACTGTGAGTTTTCAGGCTGTGTGTGTGTGTGTGTGTGTGTGTGTGTGTGTTATCTTACATCAATTTTGAAAGATTCTCAGTTGTCAATTCTCCAGACATCTCTGTGGTCCCATTCTCTCTTCTTATAGATCTCCAATTATAATTAAAACCTTTTCACTGTGTCATACACACAGACACACAAAGAGAGAACAAGAGATGGAGACAACTTTTTTCTATACAAGTAATTTGCAAAAAGTTTATGTATATGTGTTATGAAAAAGTTTGCATGAATTTCAGGTTTTTACATCCAAATAAGCTCTTTCTAACTGGTTGTTCAGATGTGTTCTCATGAGTCACTAAGAAAAATAAGACATCAGTTTGGAAAGAGCCTCTCTAGGACAACATGAATTCTAAAATGTTAACAAATTTCCAGATGCTAAAGCTTTGGGGGAAGGATGAAAAGTTACTTAAAAGGAACTGGACTTTTCACCTCTAGCATTTGTACTTATTCCTTATGGCTTCAGTTTCTCTATCGAGTTTCTTCAACTATTTGTTCATTATGACCACTATTTTCTTCATTAGATCGTTTATAAGAGTGACTTTGAAATTTCGTTCTTGATAATTCCTACATCTAGACCTGCTCAGAGGTCAGTTTCTATTGATTGCCTTCTCATGTGAATGGGGCTCCTTTTTGGGTTTTTTATTTGTTTATTAGCTTTCTTATTTAAGATATATTTCTTTTATTTGAAAACCAGGGTTTCAGAGAGACAGGGAGAGAGAGAGGAGAGACACAGAGAGAAGTCTTCTCTCTGCTGGTTCACTACCTTCAAAAAATCACAAAGGCCAGAGCTTGGCTAGTCTGCAGCTGGGATCCAGGAGAGTCTGGGTCCCCCACGTGGGTGCAGCGTCTCAAGGACTTGAGCTGTCTTCTGCTACTCTCCTGGGCTGTTAGCAGATTGGAAGTGAAAAAGTCTAATCCAGGGCCCATGTAGGAAGCTAGTGCATGCTAATCAGCCCGATATACCAACATACTGCAGGCCCCTAGGGTTTTGTTGTTGATGATGTTACATTGTGGGTATGATTTTGTCTTTCTTTCGTGGGTGATAACTTTGGTTTGGTAAATCACCTTGCTGCTGTCTGCCTTGTTTCCCTGTTGGAGAGATCATGTACGTATTACCTTGTAAAGACTGAATGCAAGCATCTTCAGTCACATTAATGTATACATTGAGCGGACATAGTGGGATGTCACCCCCATGACAAAAGCATCACATATGGGTATCGGTTTGAGTCCCTGCCTCTTCACTTCTGCTCCCTGCTGACATACCTGGGCAAAGCAGCAGCAGATGGCCCTAGGTGGGTGCCTAGGGTCCCTGCCATCTTCCTAGGAGACCCAAATAAAGCAAAGTTCCCAACTTCTCGCTTCCACCTGGCCCAGCCCTAGCTTTTGCAGCCACTTGTGGAGTGAACCAGCAGATGAAAGATCTCTCTCCTCACTCACTTTTTGGTAATTCTACCTTTTAAATAAATAGGTTTTTTTTTTTTTTTAATGCACAGTAAGATTTACTTGACTGGCATTAGAACTTCCCATTTTGCTAATAAGTGGCTATAATACAAGTCACTGCCTTAGGAAGCAGCCTATTCAGATGGAAAGACAAATGCCTATTGGGTTGAAGTAACTCTCCACTTCTAAAGGGTGGAGATGCTTTGGTAGTAAATTAGTTCTCTTTCTGTGCCCTGGGAGATTAGACAAACAATGGATCTAACTAGAAAAATAGACTGAGTCACTTGGCTTCAAGGCTATACTGAAGTTACAAGTAACTTCAGTTCGTCTCTAAGAAGAGAACTGGATCCTGTGTACTGTAAATGAATTTTACAGTCATGTGATATTTCTTGTTAAATTGAAAAGAAATCAGATGTTAAAATTTAGATGTAAAGACATGCTGAACGCAGTCTTTCCTTACCTCATCATCTGCTATGGTTAGGCTGATGTCATGTGCAATTCACTTCATTATCTACTAGTAACTGTTCTTTACTATGGTAGTTTTGATTGCTAGAGAAACGAAGCCATGCTCTTCTTTCTTCCTGATGTTTCCCAGGTCTTTCTCTACTACCTCTCCTGTCTGCAGGTTGGAGGTCCTATCAAGAGAATTAAGTAGAGCCAAGATGGGGGAAGTGAAGACATGTGCAAGGAAGGGTTGCTGCATGGACGGAGGGCTGGGTCCTCCGTGCACAGGGGTGGAGGACGGGAGTGGAACAGTCATAGATCTGGAGGAGAACCAGTGGTCCGGGCCAGAGGCCTCCAGACAGGTCAGGCAGCGGCGTCTGGGCGGACCTTCATTCAGATCTGGAGTCTGCTCAGTGTTTTACATTACACCCAAACCCGTTTCTTCCCTGCAGGGGGCAGCTCTCCCTGCAGCCCTCCACTGAGGCAGTCCTTTGGAGAAGATTCCCCTTTCACTTTGAGGATGGTTCTTGCCTTTTTCTTGCCTTCTTCTCAGGTTCAGATCACTCCATTGGCTTCAACTATCAAGTGAAGGGCAGGTCTCCTGGGCAGGAGGTATACTCCACATGTTTCTGACACCCATTAGCCATGGGATACCATGTGCCCAGATGGCTGGCACTTGGAGTGTCAGGTGGCTTCCATGCTCACACAACTGCCTACCTTTCCCAACGCACACACCCCCTCCCCAACTTATTCCACAAGTTAAGGTTCCTCTAAGGACAATCACCTCTTTTATGAGTCCCAAACTAGCAAATTCACCTAAAAAAAAAAAAAAAAAAAAAAAAAAACTGCCAGACAGAGGAGGGGGAAGGTTTAGCATCCGCCTCTGTTCCCTGTGGGGGCATTTAAGCACAGAGGCACCAGGGCACCGGGCACACACCCTCTCCAGGCTCACACGCGCTCTGCTCCAGGCAGAAGCAGGCGCCCTCCACAGCTGCCCTGTGTGCCCCAGCGCAAGAAACTGCAGAACTTCTCCCCACCCCCTTGGGTCGGCCAGGCGATACTGCACGGAGCTGCCCTGGCGCAGAGCCCTGCTCTTCCCGAGTCGTGGGTGGCTCAGTACTTGTTTCCCTCCCCTCCCTTTCCGGACCCCAATGGGGATGTATCTGGGTCAGCTTGGGAGGGGCCGGACCTGCCAGGGACCGGCGTTTGGGGGGAAGTGGTGGTGATGACAGCATCTTTCAGGTTTTTGGCGTCCCTGCACTTTGCCTCGTCCAGACCTTCACTGCGCTTAGGGAGGGTCGACGCTCAGGTCCTGGTGACCTAGGGTGAGAGCGTAGAGGGAGCGCCTGCCTGCCTATCTGGCCGCCCCACTTGCGAACAATACGCCCCCACCCCATCTGTCTGTCTCTCTCTTTTTCTCCCCCCCCCCCCCCCCCCCAAGCGCACGCTCTAAGGCGGGCGGACGGGTCCCTCCACCCCAGGAAAAGAGCAATGGAACAGTTCACGGCCGCCGCGAGTTCCTGGTCTTCCTTCCTTTCCGGTGATAAACCACGGGGCGGCACGCCAGTAGTGGCTTAAGATGCTCCACCCGCGGGCTGGAGCCCCTCCGGTTGGGCTCTGCCCAACCCAGGTCCAGAGCTGAGGGTCCCTGGACCTCCACCAATCGCGCATCCCCAGTGCTGCGGGAGAGAGGGGAGGTGTGACCCCGGCCCTGGATGCTGACCCAAGGCCCTCCCTATGTGATCTCCAGGCTCTGCAGTGCTAGGGAGGGGCTTGTGGTACGAGGACAGCGCAAGGTCTCCCGTGCGTGTCTGAGACAGCTGTGGGGAAGGCCCCAGGGACTCTGATCTTCCCAGAGGGGCTTCATGATTCAGCCCAGCAAGGAGGTACCCTGGATACAGATCTTTATTTGCCGGAGGAGGCTTTGCCCATCCCCTCCAACCTTGCCCTGTAGAGGCACGGCAGCTCCGTATTCCCAAGGTAGCAGGAGAAAAGCGAAGCCGTGAATGGATTCTTGCATCCCACAGTCACCATGCCCCCCCTTACCCTCGTATCCCCACCTTCTTAGGGACGTGTGCATGTGAATATGTACCCGGTGCTAGTCTCGCCTATCTGGAACGCATGTTCATGGGGCCAAGTCCACTGGCTCTTTGCTCTGAGCTTCCCTCAAGGTGCCAGCCCCATGTCCCCCAGACATTTCAGGACATCCACTAGTCCGCTCGTGCACTGGACCCTACCACCCGAGCCCCAGCACAACACAGCGCCCCCTCTCTGGCCGCGGCAGTGCCCGACAGGGTGCGGAGGTGAGGTCGGATAGGGGCGCACAGCTCCCGTGCTCTCTTGCCTAGGGGAATTGGGCTGTGGGCGAGGCGGGCCGGGGCTGGCCTTTATCGCTCTGCCGGCTCGTCTTTTGAAACTTTATCAGCAAGTCTCGCCACTTGCAGCAGACTCGAGCAGGGGGCGGGGGCGCGGCGCCAGCGGCCGTGACGAGGCGCTCCCAGCGCTGAGCGCTTCTGCTCGGCGCACGCATGGCGCCCGCACACGGAGTCTGACCTGATGCAGATGCAACGGGGTTAATATGAACGCCCCTTTCGGTCGAATCTGGCTGGGGCTACCGCTGCTCTTGACCTGGCTCAGCCCTGAGGTCAGCTCTTCATGGTGGTAAGTACCCCCAGAACCGGAGTGGAGGCAAGGGGTGCTTGGGAGAAGGGAAAAGAGGGGAGCAGGGACCGCACGGGTCCCGCCCGTGAAAGGGGTTGGTACTGCCCCCTGGAACCCGCACTGCCCTATCCCTACCCCTTCTGAGGAAGACCATTTTAGTTTTGACAACTCGGGGAAAAAATCACATGCCGCTTGGATTGCGAGCTAGGATGTTTGGATTATTTGGATTCAGCTGAACGACCACAAAATAAGCCAATTTCAGATCCAGTAGAGAGCCGAGCCAGAGCGATCTACACAGATGGATGCGTGCGTGTGTGTGTGTGTGTGTGTGTGTGTGTGTGTGTGTGTACGCACATGTATGTAAATCTACCTTTCAAGGTTGGTGTAAATCTACCTTGAAAACTGTATCTGCCTCTCTTACCTCTCTCTCCACCCCAAACTGTAGCGCGATTAGCAGACCACCACTGTGTGTTTTCCCGTCGTTTCACATTCTTATTGCTTCCCTCACAAGCGAGGCAGAAGAGTGCCCCATAATATCGCCTACTGGCCAAGTCGCAGCCCCCGGCAGCAGAGGTCTAAGAGGCCTGCCCCCAAAGGCTGCCCCCCCACACACACCCCCTCCGCAAGAGCAGCTTCATTGGCGTCCATTCTTTGTACAGTGGTTGATCTGATGTCTTATTATTGATTTATTGCGCGTGGTGATGTAACTTCAAACCGTGGCAGGTCTTAGCACGGTGCCCTAAGGCAGAGCGTCTCTGCATTCAGAAACCCTGCCCCCATTCCCTCCAGTTTCCAGACTCTCTGATGTTGGAAGGAGATGGAGGTAAAGGTTCTGAAGTTCACTTGTAGGAGTTTCAGAAAGGATACTGAAAGACTAACTTGGAATGACTGCTTACCGGAGCCAAGTTCTCCAAGAATCCGGTTAAATAGTAAGGCTTCTTGGCCAAGTGAGAGCCTAGAGAAGCGAACTTTTTAGGAAGACACAGAGTACCTCAGAAGGGGAAGGGACAGCAAGGAGTACTAATGGGGAGAGGAGTTCAATTCCCTCCCAAGGCAGCTTTGAGCAGAAAGGCGTTTAGCTTTGACATTGCTGACACAGGATCAAAGATTGATTTATCAGACTGACCATTTTTCAATAAAATGCCCATTTCTGTGTCCATGGGTGTATAAACATTATTTATTACTTGGGCTTTTTTGTCACATTGTCTCTCAGCTGTCACTTCAGTATATTTTTTGGAAGTCACAGCTGTAACAATTTTATGATCATATAAAATAATGAAAATACAAGAAAAAGACATTCTCTCTGTTTGATCGCTTCAAAAGACACCTATGGCAGCTTGGGTTATATAAAAGGTACCTTTCTAAACATTTCACAACTAATAGAGAACATCTGGGTAGGGATGATGATGTAATTTTTTGTTGTTGTTGTTAAAGTTTCTTTTCAAAAAGTACTTTATGGAGCTATAACATTGTTTGATTCTTCCAAACATTGAGTGTCCTTCATAACAATAGGAAAAGCCCCCCCCCAAAGTTTTTCCATAAAAAACAAAGACAGCTAGAAAATGAAAATATTTGAGAGGTTTTTTTTTTTAAGTAAGCATGCCATACCCATGAGGAGAGTATAAAAAGAAATCACCGCAGGTGTTGATTAGATGGATACAGACAGTGTTTAAGATACTAGGTTAAATAAACCGAGTCGGGGTCTTCCTAAGGTTGGCTTCCTCCAAAGCCAAGTTCAGACACGTTGTGTCATTACCACCGCAGTCTTCTAGAAAAAATCCTCATGTATCCTCCCCAAAGGCATTTTCTCTTCCCTACTCCTTCAGTTCTCTGGCTGCAGACCTTGCCTTCCTCACCCTGGAATCATTGGGTGGCCCTGGCTTCAAGTCTAAGAGAAGCAACACTCTTGTGTGTGTTGGGGTAGACGGGGGTGGCTTCTACCAGATCATTCCCCACTGAGCTATAACTCAAATAACCCCTGCTGTCTCGAGTCACCTATCAGTTCAAGAACCCATGCTAGGATGGTGCTTTTGCTCCTAGAAAATGCCAAGTCATGACTCCTTGTTCATGTCTCTCCTTTCTGTCGGTCCTTCCCAGGCAGATGAAAATCACAGGTGACTCCTCCAGGGTGATGTGTGACAATGTGCCCGGACTGGTGAGCCGCCAGCGTCAGCTGTGCCACCGACACCCGGACGTGATGCGTGCCATAAGCCAGGGTGTGGCCGAATGGACAGCAGAGTGTCAACATCAGTTCCGCCAGCATCGTTGGAACTGCAACACCATGGACAAGGATCACAGCCTCTTTGGCAAGGTCCTGCTCCGAAGTAAGTCTCCTGCCTTGCCCTGGCTCCAGGGATGCACCCCTCCTCATACTTCTCCCTGGCTCTTCACAGCCCATTTTTGTGCTGCTGGGTGGCACCGACTCAGGTTTTAAGATGAGAACTAGAAAACCATGCAATTTGTCTAAAGTCTTATCAAAGAAGCCAGTCATGGAGTAGAAATGTAGGGCCTAAGGTTGGCATATTCACTCTTTGCTCTACCCATCACTACTACCCTACACTTGCCTCCTGGCTCAGAATTTGTCTCTAGCAGACAAAAAGAAAGAGTTAAAGGGTTCTTCTGACTTTATCTTTCTAGGGTTGAAAGCTCCCAGAAAAAATATTTCAGAAGAGCAAGAGAGAATACTTCCATCTTTTATCAACCAAAGATTCTCATGATTACAGAAGCACAGAGTGAAAATTAGGAAGAAGCAAGTGTCCTTGATGCCTTTGACCTTCTGTTCAGCTCCTCAGCCTCAATTACTCTCTATCGAGCCTTGCTTAGAGGAGTTGTGTATTTGTCAGGGCAGGACCTAGCTCAAAGTCCTTGTGCCTATCTTGGCACCTGGTATGTTGCAGGCCCCATTCATTCATTACCACCACTGAATGAATGAACCTCTGGTGAGCAACCTATTGATTTGCAGCTGCACTGCATGGAGTCAGATTGTTAGGGAGGACGGGGTAGGAATCAAGAATACCTGGATTTTTTTCACCCTTTAAAGGTGACTTCGACATTATACAATGATAAAAATCACTTTTTGATAGCCAGAGTAACTAGCTAGTCTGCAGAGAAAGCTCATTGGAAATCAAGTTTCATTTCCAAATAATGGCCATCTACTAACTTGGCATTATTAGCTTTCTCCAAGAAATAACACAGCCTATTTGATGTGGGGATATCTGTCTCAAAACACAATAGTTGATGTGCAAACCCCAGAAACAGGAGACTGGACACTTGTTTTTTGCCCACTCCCCCACCACCATGATTCTGAAGAAAATCGTCCAGGCTGTGCACTTGGTAATGCTTAACAGAGGGTGTTTCTATCATGTAATCATCACAGCCCTAGGGTTTTATGAGGCCAAATGCATAACTGAATGTCTAAAATCCCCCAAGGGCGTAGTACTCTCACTCTTGGAGTATTCCTAAAGTTAATTTACTGCGATATTCTGCAATTTTATTCTCCAGTTTAAGAACTATACTCTTCTGCATTCCTTTTGGAGTTTCGATATGACATCGCAGATTTTTGAAAGGTTAATAGTAAATTTCAGCTGCCTGGAATTTTAAGACTTCACCTAGATTAGCTCACCAGTGAATCAATTAAAGCGCTGGACCTTGTCAAAGGGAGCTTGCAAATATCTAGCACAAGTAATCTTCGGATACATTATGCACAGGCTCTCGGCATTTATCAGAACCCTTCTTTTTCAAAGAGCTCCCAAGCATTTTCCAGCAATTTCAGTGTAGATGCATTGCTCATTTACAAAATAAGCCTGTTAGAAACAGATTATTTAGATCACAAATCAAACGAAGCAATTTAAAGCAATGATCCTACAGATAGTACTAATGTATCTGCAAAAGGGACTCCTCCATAAAACACTGGATCTTCATCTTGGCCATGTTGGCTTCTTCAGAACTGCAAAGTTGCTACAAGGAAGTGGTTAGAACTAGAAGAAACTAAACCAGTTTGACTTTGTCTGAGCCCCCAGGTAAAGACGAGATTTTTAACCAGTATTTCCCTCAGATTCCTTCCCAAAGAAGCTGTATGCTTTGCCAATGTACTTCAACCTTAAATCATCCATGCTACACAATTTGCCTTGTACACACAAGGCCCAATTCCTTCCCAAACACGTGGACAAACGCCTAGGAGCATCAGTAATGACTTTGTATTGGTTAGGAGAGGACTGAATTTGGTGTGCAGCAGCTTATCTGAAAATAATCTGGAAATTCCAATGAGGCAATCTAAAATTTTCCACAATTAATTGCTTGGAGGGAAATTTATATCTGAGAGTTGTAAAGAACTCTCCTTTGGAAACCTAAATGTGCTTATAGACTAATAGGAAAGGCAAGGAGAAACACCGATTACAGAGAAGACATTCAAGTTACTAACAGCCTGCATGATCAGTAGAGAGATGGTGCCTCAGGGAGCCAGAGCCAGGTCAAACCAGCATTTTGAGTGACTCTTTGCAGACTGTTGCCAGTCACAGGCACACTTTGCAGACTATTGCCAGCAATATTCTTGCAAGAATATGCCTCCAAAATTCTAGAATAAACCTTGAAATGGCAAATCAATAGGGTGATTAGGTCTCCTCTTTTTAAGTTTGATATAAATATAAATACTTTATATATTATATATTTTACATGTACATAGTTTGGTATAATTATTACTGATTATATTATACTTATGTTTTATATTTATATATTATATAATATATTGTATATTATGATTATATTTTTATATTTATATCAATTATACCTACTATGATTATATATTTATATCACATAAATATACATATTTGTGTATAAAATATATGTATTTAAAATAAAAATTCAAGAGAATTGAACGACCCACATTCTTCAAGAAACTCTAGCTTTTACTGTTTGGCATTCCCAGGTAACAAAAACAATGCCTGTATACTTCACAGACACTGCTTCATTTCAGTTCAAAACTGAGAGAAACTGCAACAGCCACACATAAGGGGGCATAAATAGCATCATCTAGATTTGGATTTTGAGATGGCTCCTTAAAGGATCCATTTTTCTAAGAAGAGGCCAAAGATGAAAATTTGTTTTGTTGCACTGCCAGTTCTTGAAATGTGCTACTATTTCACACATAGCACTTTAGTGATTCATCTGAAACACTTAACTGAAAACATCTTAAGGCTGTATCTATGTGATATCAAAACATCTGGACATAAAACGAAAAGCCAGTCAATGTGCTATGTTTTTTATTTAAGTAAGTAAACACTCAGCTGTTTAGTAACGTATTTGAATGGCACTTAGAAGGGTGATATTTTTGCTTGTCAATGTGCTATGTTTTTTATTTAAGTACATAAACACTCAGCTGTTTAGTAACGTATTTGAATGGCACTTAGAAGGGTGATATTTTTGCTTGTGAAATGTAGACAACTGTGTTCTCTTGTTCTTCCAAACCTGTAAGTTGAAGCAATCGTCTACACCTTACACCAAGACAAATTCTATGCCTCGATCATTTTTCCTGTGCTGCTGACACACCATCACCTACATCTTCCATGCATTTCCCCTAAATGACCACCTCATAAAATGTCTTTCTCCTTAACAAGAATACTAGTGCCCAATATGTTAAGGATTTAGGAGTGTTTTTCTTCCCCCTCCTTGTGGTATCTCTAATCAGGGGCACTGGACACCAAATCCAAAACCAGGCTTCAGAAAATAAATGAGTTAACAATCCAAAAGATATTTTCCTAAACTATAAAATGGAGATTTCTTTTTTTTTTTTTTAAAAAAAAAAAAAGGCTAATGATCTAAGAACCACTACTTGATTAAGTCATGTGCCAGCACTCAGCTTCCTTTATATCTCAATTCCATTTAGATAATGCAAGCTGGGACTCTTTAAGACAGCTCCCACACACATCACATTTCTATCCGACAGAGCACACCCAACTACCTGAACCAAATATCCATCCACTTGATTTCACCTGACCACAGGGGATGACTGATTCCTTTTTTCTTTTCTTCCTTTTTTAAATTTTTATTTTATTATTATTATTTTTTTGATGGTTAGAGGTTTCTAGAGAAATTTTTCTGAAGGCTGAGGTAAGCGCCATTTAATAGGGTGTAGATATGTTTTCCTGATTTTTAATAATGAGGCTAGCAGAGCAAATATTGCCAGGGACATATAATAAATTTTAGCCATGAATGACAAACGGAAACAAGCAGGGCTTCCATGCAAAAAGGTGGTTTGTGATCCCAGCTGCGTGGTTCCAAAAGCTGCCCTGGTCTTGACATATTGAGTCACCCCATGCTTCTCTGTTTGCTGCCTTGCATTGGCATTAGGTTGTCTAGCTTCTATTTTGATTGTGAATAGATTTGCTGCGGCAACCATTAATAAAAAAGCATGCTAATAACAATGAAATACAGCTCCACTTGAGAAACAAGGTGCGCAAGGACCCTAAAGAGCCTTATATCTGTCACTATACCACAACAGCGCGTTATGAGTTACTACAGATTATTAAAATAATTTAATGTAGTTATTGCACTGAAATATGTACCTTTCAGCCTGTAAGTGAAAGTAGCCTGTGGTCTAATAAAGAACAATTCTAAGAAAGCACCCCAAAAGGGTTCTTGCCGGAGTCTAATTATAGGCGGTAAATTTGTTTCCTTCAAGAACAACCAAAGAAAAGCTTTTCACTGTCTTTTTCCCAATAGCAGTGATTAGTGCAGGTGTTCCAGAAGAGAGTAAATTCATCTTAATAGTTAGACATAGTATGTAACTCAAGGATATTGCATATTGCCTTCAACAATCTTTCAATTACTTGTGAAAGTTGATGCCAAGCCAAAGTTCAGTGTTGACGCCGGGAGCTGGTAACTGCCGAAATTCTCCTTCCCACCTCAGCCCCTGGCTTTCTCTGAATTCAGTCTTTCAGTGTCTATGATTTAAATGCATATGAGTGTCTTTGGTTATGCGTAGAAATTCAGGGGGTTTTTCCCAACAGAAGCTGTGAATCCCCCCATAAATATCACGGAACAATTACATTGTAGCATGTATTTTAAGATGAGGAAAGAAAGGTGGGATGTCATGTATGAAGCCAGGATTGAAAGCCAGGAACTGGGCAAGGTCTTTTTTGTCTTTAATGCTTGTTACTCACTTTGAGAAGCATTGTTCTACAGGTATCTAAACCAACAGAACCCTCTTTAGGTGGCAATATTAAAGAACGAACCTTGGCTCTAGAAATAGAATCTTCTAGTGTATACCCATAGTCTGTTGTCTAGCAGCAAACGATGTCAGGGCCGGATCAAATATTATAGTCACCATGTGAGAGTTCTTCAGGACTAGTACTACTTGACCACTTTTAAGAAAAGCATTTTTGTTGCAGGTAGTCGGGAATCTGCCTTTGTTTACGCCATCTCCTCAGCTGGAGTTGTATTTGCCATCACCAGGGCCTGTAGCCAAGGAGAATTAAAATCCTGCTCCTGTGATCCAAAGAAGAAGGGAACCACCAAGGACAGCAAAGGCACCTTTGACTGGGGCGGCTGCAGTGACAACATTGACTATGGCATCCGCTTTGCCCGGGCATTTGTGGATGCCAAGGAAAGAAAAGGAAAGGATGCCAGAGCCCTGATGAATCTTCATAACAACCGAGCTGGCAGGAAGGTATGGAAATGCCGTGGTGCTTATTTTGTAGACCGTGTGGCCCTAGTGATCTCTTGAGCAGAGATTCTCTAAAACTTTCCTTACACTGATAAAGTGCTGTAGAGATTTTCCACCGTCCCCCAGCACAGGGCTGTTTGTTCTAAAGAATACCACCGGCTGGGTTAGAAGATCCCCACCCACACTCCACTTTTCTTCCCACAGCTGAGCTGGAGGAGTCCACCCATTGCTTTTGGCATTGTGTTGAGTCAAGTGTTTTATAGTCCCTTTGGATCCTCGATCATTCAAGCAGATTTAGTCTGTGGACTATGCTAGAGCTTCCTCCCATATAGTGATGGTACACTGGATGGTTGCGTCTAAGAGATAGCAATTCCCAGAGCCATTTTTCTCACAAATGATTTGTGAAATTCACCAGGCATGGTCTGTTGGCTTCTTTATTCAGAAATGCTCTTTCAGAACCAGTTGCAGTTGTCATTCATAAAAACTGGTTTGATTTGTTTTGTTTTAATGCTGGAAGAATAAGTGGCCTAGGGAAGACATAGCCCCAAAGGGGTACTCTGGTGCCTTATTTGCTAGTCTTGACTCACTTCCTGAGCTGTGGGCCTATAATCAGTAGTCATCCCTTAGCACCTATTTGTGACATGGAGCCACAGAGCCTCATGTCACCTGGCAAGTTGTTAGAGAAAATAAGGGCTAGAACTCAGCTTTCAGCTCTTCTGATCTAGCATTAAACCATTTCAGTGCCAGTGCTCAGATCTATTGATGACCCATTTCTTTATGATGGCAGGACCAGAATCCTGCCTGATATGCCTCTACATAGAAAGAATAAATTGACTGTGTAATGAAACAGTTGACCAGAATTTTTCTGGAATAAACTAACGGGAAGAGATAGCCATAGTTTCCCTATTGTCACTACAATATAGAAATGTGCTGGATAGCAATATAGAAAGGAAGATTAGCATAAAATTATACAGTCTCCAAGGGTTGGTGGGACTTAAAGGGAAAAGAATGAAGATTAGTTTGGGTGAAAACCATTTTCCTAGATTCCTGGAGAGAACAGATCTCATTTAAAGGAAGTTGGAAGGGAAAAAAGGAATAAGATGAGTGTGCCCTGAACTGTTTACAAACAGTACCTTTCTTGAACTTTAAAAGTCAACATTTCTTATTTTTATGAATTTATGAAACTACAGTAACCTCTGCCAAGAATATAGACTGGTTGTGCAATCCTACAACTATTGGTCATTACTGTTTGTGCAATGATTTGGATGAAAGAAATTTACATTGACCTGTTTTGACAATAGATATCATATGTAAAAGTTATAAAGCGTGGTGTCTTTGATAGGAGTATGCTGCTTAATTATTCAAACAGGGGACATAGTTAGATTTCTCTGATTATTTGGGAAGATAAAAGTATATGGTCATATACTGTATCCAAAGAACATTGACTTATCAAAATAAATGCTAATTATTTATGCTCAGTAGGCTATTAGGTGTTGGACGTCTCAACTCTTCAGCATCATAGATCTTAGCCATTGTATTTTAGGCCCTGAATAAACATGCCTTCTAATGTAAATCACATGATTCTTCCTCGCTTAGAGGTGAACAGCTGTCAGGCCTCAGATATTCTCCTGCCTACCCTGCAGAACTTAGGAGGCTACTTTTGATTGCAATAAAAGTGCACACACTGACTTTTTCAAATATGGCTTTAATTAATGGTGGGTGGGCAGGCCTTTTCAAGGAGATGTATGATGTCAGTGAATATGAACTTTAATGAGAGCAAATGTATTGAGATAAACATGCGTCTTTAATTCTCTTCTTGCGGTCATCAGACCCCCTTGTTCCCACTCCCCCTACTACCACCCTCAGTAGGCCTGTGGAATCAAGATGTGCATGGGCTGGGCTGGGTGGGGCTAGTGTCCAAAGGTCAGCCTCTTGAGCCAAGCCTCCAGCCGGCCTGACTTGAGCAAACTGCAGCCTCTCAGGATCGACAACCTTTTGTTTTCTTGGTGCTTTTTCAGTATTTCTCACATTGTCCAATGTGTGAACAGCTTCTGCTTGTGAAACTGGGGACCCTTGGTGGAGCGGGCAGGGGAAGATTGATACGTTTAACAGAGTCATCTGTTCTAAGATTGCTCTGTGTAGCTAGTTGTAAAAGTCAGATGTCAACACTGCCAATCACAGTAGGCCCTCATTTCCCCCAATATCTGAACAGCTTAACTCATCTTTTTAAATAGCAGCTGGTTACAGCACCCTCATGTGTCTCTGTACCGTAGTATCATTTTGGTCCCTCTTTGCTGAAATATATTTTAATCATAGTTACACAATTTACTTTCTTGTTCATGTTTACCCAGTAGAGTCTAGTTTTCTACCTCTAACAGGACTATGAACAAATTCTAAAAAGATAGCATATTTTGTTCAAAATAAACATTCTATCAAGAAGGGAATCCCACAGCTTCCCTCAACCTCTCTTTTTAGGTCTAAAGAAAACATGCTCTGAGAACTTTCAAACTGTTACTTAAGTTGGGTGTAAGTAAACGACACACAAGAGATATCTGGTCTATTGCACTATTGGTTTCCTTTCATGAGCTTGTAAATGGCTTTTAAGTCAGCCCACTCTTTCCTTGAAAATGAAATCATCATGGTTTTTATACACTACAAGAAATATCTATCTCAAGATAAGCCATGTATCTAATCAAATAATGTCCTTCATTCTCTCTGGAAAATTCTACAGAAGTATTTCCATAAGAATAATAGGAATTTCATAAAAATGCTCTCTCAAAAGTCTTTTACTAGAGAGAGCATAGAAAGAACATGGGATTTATGATCAGACCCAACTTAGTTTGAACCTTGCAGTATCAGTGGATTTATTCACTGAATCTCATTGTTTCTCTCTGTGCATGGAATGGGAAAAACAAGTATGGAAAAACAAGGTATGGGAAAAACAAGTGTAAGGCAAATAGCACAAAACTTGGAATGCAGTACAGACCAAAAAAAAAAACAGCTAGTTGTTTCCCATTGGTGAGGTGAAGGTTGTTTGTAATCTAGGTAACAGAGCTAGAGCCAAACCAATTTGAACTCAGGATTCAAACTCATTGCTCCACCAATGCATGGGCTCGTCTGCTAACAAATTACAGCCAGGTAGTGCTTTCTCATCCGCAAATTTCTGTCCAGTATTTTATAATTTAATCTCCCCAAAGCCCCATAAGAATAAAAAATTGATGTTACTATTTCTGTTTGTTTTTGCAAGATTTATTTATTTATTAGAAAGGCAAAGTTACAGATAGAGAGATTGTCCATCTGCTAGTCCACTCTCCAAATGGCTACAAAAGCCAGAGCTAGTGCAGGTTGATGCCAGGAGCTTCATGTGAGTCTCCCATGTGGAGGGCAGTGGCTCAAGTACTCGGGCCATCTGTTGCCTTCCCAGGCATATTAGCAGGGAGCTGGATCAGAAGTAGAGCAGCTGGAAATCCAACTGGCATACTTATGGGATCCCAACATATAGGCAGATTTTACTCAGTGTGTCACTATGTTGGCCCACTTTTTTTTTTTAATTATTTTTACCAGAAAGACACAGAGAGAGAAAGAGAGAGAGAGAGAAAGGGAGACATACAGAAAAAGACCTGTAATCTATTGGTCCACTCCCCAAAATGCTGCAGTGCTTGCAGTGGTCAAGGCTGGACCAGTTGAAAGCCAAGAGCCAGAAATTCCATCTAAATCTTTCCTGAGAGCAAGTGGGGCCCTCATGTACTGCTTTGCCTGGTGCACTGGCACCTATGTCTGCCTTTCAAATGAGAATCTGGGCATCAGAGGGATGAAAAAGGTCATCCTGAACTGCTGGACTTGGTAATTTAAACTCACATGCACTTACTATATTGCCTCTTAAGAATTCCTGGGCCTGGCACCAGTGTGTAGCAGTTAAAGTCCTTGCCTTACAAGTGCTGGGATCCCATACGGGCACTGGTTCTAATCCCGGCGAACACACTTCCCATCCAGCTCCCTGCTTGTGGCCTAGGAAAGCAGTTGAGGATGGCCCAAAGCTTTGGGACCCTGCACCCATGTGGGAGACCTGGAAGAAGTTCCTGGCTCCTGGCTTCAGATCGGCACACCACTGGCCATTGAGGTCACTTGGGAAGTGAACCATTGGATGGAAGATCTTCTCTCTGTCTCTCCTCCTCTCTGTATATCTGCTTTTCCAATAAAAATAAATGAATCTTAAAAAAAAAAACACTAACTTCTCAGGAAAAGCTTTTCCTTCAAACAAAAAAACAAAAGTTGCCCTAGGAGATGTTTTACTGACAGATTTTTCCCTTGTGCATCCTGACAAGTTCCTTGAAATGCATGTGCATTTGAGAGAGCGGGGGAAAGGACACACTTACTGCTAAAGGCTCACCGTGTGCCCCTACAAGCACACCTGAAGAAGCTTTAGTGAGGGCTTGCACAAAACTTCTCCTCAGGGCTCTGAGTCTGAGGATGCTATTCTGATGTGTGATTGAACTAAACTGGATTCAGTGTATAACTCCTTCAGGAATCACTTTGGTAAGTGCACTTTGGGGGATATCAAGTCAGATGTGGACAAGAGTAAGACCAAGTGGTCCCTGACCAAAGAAAACCAGATTTCCAGGAGGGAGAGGAGTCCCACGGAAGCACATGCCAGCAGTGGATGCTAAGAGGTGTAAGAGAAACATGAGCCAGAGTCCACTTAGCTGAGGAGATAAAGGCTGGGCCTTAACTTTTATGGGCGTTTGAGCTGGAGATAAAGATTTCCCATGGATGAAATGGGAAAAATGCCTTTCAAAAGGAGATACTCCCAGTCGGGGACAGATACTGAAGCTGAGAGCACATCGTAAAGTTGGGAGATGAAGCTGAGAGAGACAGGAGCTGGGCCTGCAGACCCAGATGGCACTGTGCACGTGACAGAGAAATCACCAAGTCCTGTTGCTGTGCATTTGTTCATTTCTCTGGAGTCCACTTAAAAGTGACAACAATCAAAGCTCAATCCTTCT